GTTATGCAGTATGTTTCCCACACATCAAATATGTAAGAAATTATTTTATATGATGCATTAAATTCACTCCCTCTGATCTCACAGTTCGTGTTTACGGAACAGATGGATTGACTTGAGACTTTCTAGGTATGCTTACTTCTGAATGCATTTAATACGTGGAGGTTACGTGGCCATCTGCTCACGTAATGCCTATATCCCGACTGCAGCAAGATCGTTTATTCAGAAGTCGACTGCGTCCACTAAGAACCAGGATAGAGGCCACAAAAGATGCTGCAAATGCAGGCTCCCGTTTTTCACATCTAGCAGCACGTGTGCTGAGGCAGGTACAGATTTATTCCTACCTTAACACGCATGCCCACCTCATTTGGAAGTCTGCTTTCTAAACTGCAGCAGATAAACAGTGGCAAATTAGAGGGGCTCGAGAAGCTGATACAGGAACCATACTGATGCGATGAGAAATGACAGCTGACAGCGTGTCCTCACATGAGAAAACAGAACATCTATAAAACGCACAGCCTTTCAAAAGCATTGGCTGGACTGGGACCCGCTAGCGCTAGTGTGATCAGTAAATGACAAAGCCACCAAGCAGTCCATAAGGGCGTCGCTGAATAATAGAACCCAGTGCGATAATTGATGTGCCAAAGGATGCTCTTCACCCACCGGGAAAGAGCATCGACCGCTGGGTGCGTTAGAAAACTCAGCCGTCCGACAAGTTTCTCTCCTGGAGTTCCCGGTGATTAAGATTGTAAAATATTCTCTTAAATTATACAAATTAGTAATTGATTATATTAATGGACCCTTTGAAGTGATTAATCTGTTGATAAAGTATCAGTGAGAGAGAGAGATACACATAATAGGTTACTAATAAAGGTCACCTGGACGTGAATATGAACATGACTTTATGACTTTCTTCCCAAAGATTTCAGAGGAGAGATGGCTTTAAGATCTAAATGGAACTGGGGCTTGTCGGGTCTTACACTCACCAGCTAGTTTATCTTCATAGCTGTACGCTTGTTCTTGGTGATACAGGAAAAGAGGTTAAGTGTCCTATGAGCTTTGTAGAGGAGGGACTCTGCACGTGCCTGTATGCCATTAAACATAATCATGTAATAGTTGTGGAGTTACGTGCTATATAGATTCCTTAGCAATGAGCAACCATAGTCCCTTCAAAAGCTAATATGTACTGAATACATCCATATTTGCTTTTGTTTTTAAGGCATTGCAAATAAGCACACTTTCATATTTTTAGTAGGCTGTGGCTCCCATAGGAGAAAATGTCAAATGGACTAACCAAAGAAGACAGGCTGCTATTTAGCTAGGATGAGGTCCCCGTTTATTGCTATTGCCATTATTGTCTGTTATTTGGGTTTTGGCTCTCTGTCGTAATATAACCTATATCGTGGATAGGGTCCACAGTTTTTACACCTTAGGATGAATACTGGGAAAACAGTTTTGTGAAAAGATGTTGCTGGCATGGTAACAAGGGACATGTAGGGAGGGTGAAACAATTACTTTGGCCATGCCCGAATACCCTTTTGCTCTTTTCAACCCAGATACATAATTTTTCCTTTGGAAAAAAAAATAATCTGTTATTTATGACTTTCATGTTCAGTTTTTAATCTTGGCAAATCTACCCTTGCCGTTTGAAGATGATGTGTTGGACCTCCCTGTGAGCTGGACTTTTGGTTTAATTGTTTTCCCCATTAATGGTGATGGGTTTGCACGGATTGAGCCACTCCGTGGTTTCCAGTGTCATTTGTATCCAGTGGCATGTGTTTGCGAAGGTAATGGATCTGCGGCTGGAGCCCGTTGCAAAGTTATGTGCTCCACAAAGAGGAGGCCGCGACCTGCAGCCTCCGCTTGATTGCCAGGGTACTGTACACATCTATCGGAGAGATTATTTTATTTCAGCCCGTGGAGTCTTTGGGTGTTTTACATTTGATTTCCAAGACTAGCTTTTAAGGAAAACAACATGCTTCAAGCTTACTGTTTGTGAGTGGTACCCAGACAGACGAGAGTGCCGCAATTAATAACAGCTTTGGTGGGTGTTGGTGCAGACCCTGTGGCATTCGTGTTTAGAATAAGAGCCCATAACTCTGAAGTCTCTGTCACTTGTTGTTTTTAAAAGTGAGTGAGGTGTAACTGCTGCCCAAACAGCCTCGGTGGAAGAGCTATTTGTTTTGCAAGTTAACAAAGCAGAAAAGGATAAGGGATGGGGTACCTCTCTCAGATGTTGGGAAGGGCGCTCAGAATTTCAACGATTGCTGCAGAAAGCGAGTATTAACATTCACAAACAAAACACACCGGCTTAATCATTTTCCATTTCTGAGTGATGAAAGTGTCACACATCTGTATATGTGTTTGTTTGTTTTTCCCTCCAAGTCAGTGACGGACTATATATTTAACGTGAAGAGGCTTTACTGCGGAGTTGCCAAGGTAACTGACCAGCAAGCCATTGAGCAGATTGCATTAGAGCACACATGAATAAAGAAAAGCCCTTGTCATCTTGAAGCCCAGGAGGCCCATGCTCGATGGTAGCCTGGCTCTGGAGATGGCAGAAATGCCTGTCATGGAAACAGGCTGAGGTAGATGGTCTATCCTTGTCCTTGAACTGAGGTGTGATGCAGGAGAAGGTACCCTTTTGTGGACCCACTTCAGGACCTGCCAAGAGCTATATAGGAAATAGAATCATTTTAGTATTACTTAAGAACCCTCCCTTTTGCTTGTAAGCTTGCTTTTGCCACCTTATGACAGCCAAAACTACGGGAAACTGTTAGTAATTAGTCATGTAAATGGAGGAGGGTAACATATAAACTGCTACACGCCCATGAGAATTTGTGACACAATTGAAATGTAAATGGAATATTATGTATATAGAATCCATAAAACATGAGACCTGTGTTTACCTCTACAGTGTTTTGTATTAGAATATATTCATCTGTTCACTAGGCACTGGTAACGTTATTCAAATATGCCAGACACCTTCTGGGTGCCGAGAAAATAATGAAGGTAAATAAAATTCAGAGCTGAACTTCAAGGTGTTTTTAATCTCCAGAGAGAATAAATTAGATACGTTCTGAAGAGATTCCTTTAGATTATTCAAAACATTTCTGTGCTTTGGATATAAGCTCCCTTTTACACATAGAATGAAATAACTGCTCAGCAGTAGTTCACAACTCTCCATCATTTGTCTCCCAGTTTTTCTCCCCCTACCTTAAATATACTCCAAGAGCTAGCATCCCCGGTTTAATTCCCTTCCTTAAGCGGAACCTCACAATTGTGGCATGTATGTGTGTTTGATGCTGCCATGTCTGAATTCCCCATCTCTGAGTTTCAGAATCTTGCTAGTACTCTAAAAGCCATATTGAATCCTACATTTCCCAGAAATCTTCTCCAAGTCTTTTTAGCCTCTGTGGCTGCTCTTCATGCTCCCAGGTATCACCAGAGCAGCCTGCTCCTCTGGGATCAGACCGAGTTAGTTGGGCACTGGTCTCCCGAACCAGGTAGTGAACTCCTGGAAGGCAGGGACCGGGTTTCCTTCATCGCTGCATTCTCCCCGGCACCTTATCTTTCAGCGGGTGTTGTGGGATTCATCGGTTGAAAAAGCTCAAGTTCTTACCCTCACAGTTCTGTGATTCTTCCACTAATGTTTTTGAGAATGGGACCATTCCCATTGGCGAGTAAGTTGTTCTTGGGGAGAAGCTGGCCATTCTGGAGGCCCCGGGAAGGCTACTTGTGAATACTCAGCACAAAACAAGGCAGGAAGGGACGAATCTCCCCGAAGACCTAGCTTGAACCCAACCTGCAGCTTCCTTCCCTCTGTTACTGGGCCTTTGAAGTTGTGTGTTTAGACCCAAAGCTATGGGTCTACGTGATGCTACAAGCCACATAGTTTAGTGTCATTTTACATTTTTGGCAGCCATCCACAGGACTGCAGGGACAAGTTTTCACAGATAAAGAAACATTTTTGTGGGAGTTCCTGTTTTTACGCTGAAAAATTTACTGTCAGCGATCTCGCTATCCAGGGCTTTTAGTTAGTTGTGAGCCTGAAGTAAGCAGCATTGGGGTTCTTAAGGTTAATTACTCCATTTACAAATCCATCAGTGAGTAAGAGAAAGAACTGGCCTGTTAGAGTTTATCTGTTTAAAAATTGCAGCCACTAGCCAGGCAGGAAGATAGCAAACCAAAAGAGATTGTAGAGGTGACAAGGGTAATGGCAGTAATGTGTTGGTGGAGATGCTGATATCAGAGGAAAAACAATAGGTGGAAAACTAATCAAACCAATTTGGCCATTTTAATGTACTCCCATCATATATCTTAAGTAACCAGTGAATCATGAAATCTACCCCATTTCACTTAAAGCAATTATTGGCACTGAATTTTATTATGTAATTGATATAGCTTATTTAGGATGTAGGTTTATATTGCATGAGTTATTAAATGTCAAGATCAGGTAAAATGGAATAAATCATTTCTAGGAGAGATATTAGAAATAACATGCATAGAAAAAGTATCAATGTATTTTTTAATCAGTATATATGAAAGTTGCCTTACATAGATCGATGGTATTATACACTCTGATGTGTTTTGTCTAGCAAACAATTAATACAACATAGATTCTGACCATTTAAAAATTACACTTTATATTTTGCTTTGAAAAAAAAATGTAGCAGTTATATAGTTGGTCAATTCTTATGATGAATTTTGCTGGTAATAATTTCAATGAAATCACCAAAAAGACGTTATGCTTTCATTGTTTAATAACAATTTAAAACATTAAAATGTGCCTAACTTTGTTTATATGGTATTTTAAAAGTCTCTAAACATGCCAAGTTGGAAGAGTTGTTTGATGTTTTGTTCTAAAATCACTTCCTTTTAAAACAAACTTCTTAACAATATGTTGCATGTTGCTTCAGTTTTCCCTTCCTTGCAGGACAAGTGAATTGTCAAGAGCAGATCTCACTGTTTGTCAATCTCCTTTCTCCCCTCTCCGTTTTCAGTGTACACCATCTTCTCGAAGGTGCACTCTGATCGCGACGTGTATCCATCTGCTGGTGTCCTCTTCGTTCACGTTTTGGAGAGAGAGTCTTTTAAGGGAGAATTTCCACCTTACCCCAAACCTGGTATGTCCTTGATGGGGGGAAAAAGTGATTGATTTACTAAATTTTTCTTTTTGTTCACTGTGTATAATCTAGGTGACAGATGATAAAATATTGTTAACATTTGAAATGGTTTGGGTGCATGATAAATTGGTCATTCTAGGTTATTTTCCATCATAAGATTATAAATTTAATTGCAGAAGGAAATAATTCATTTTTTATTTTGAAGAAAGCATATTTTTGGCTTCCCAATCTTGAGCTTTGTGCTTCTGACAAATGATGTACCTATATTTTCATAGAAATAATTATAGTTATATAATTATGACTTTCATATTACAACTTTGAATCTTAGGTAGTACATTGATTTTTAGGGATCTATACATATGTATAGAAGAGCATGATATATAATATTAAGAAAGTTTTCAAAAAAGCTTTTATAATATGAAATAATTTTATATAACTTGATAATAACATAATGAAGTTTAATTTTTCCCTTAAAGTAACACCAATTGCAAAGTCTTATTTAATTCACTATTGGATTACATTTGTGTGACAAATGTTATGAAATCAATAAAGACATAGAAGGACTGGCAAGAACAATATATTAAATTATTATAATTCTTAAGTAACAAATAAAAATGAATTTCCTAAAAATTAGAGCATTACAACTAATGTAAACATTACTTTTGTAGACTATATGATGAATAGCATACCAAAAAACACTCATAAAATATAGTTCACCATGTTATCAACAGCATTCTAGAATAAAAGGTAGTCTTTTTATCAGTTCTTTAAAAATTTTTTTAAAATGTGGTATTCTGTGTTTGCAAAACTACTTCACTAAACCTTTTGAGCAAACTCTAATATTTGAGAAAACATGTAGTTAAAAGCATAGTTTCTGGAGCCAGCCAAGATTAGATTCTAGTTTTACCACATAACATGACCACAGAGCAGTTACGTAACATGGAAAATTATACATTTCATCAACAAGATAAGGGCTAATGATAGTACTGCTTTTATAGGTTTGTTTCAAAATCAGATGAGATACTGTTGTGCCTGTAAAAAATCTAGGCACAGTGCCAGGGCCAGGTACCTGCTAATAAATGATGCCATTATTATTATTTATCATTAACAAATGTTGTCATTATTACAATTCCTGTGGATTTGTAACACTTTTTTCAACTCATCCTCCATTGTTTTAAAATTACATCATTTTTGTTTTAATGGTATTTTTATAACTTTGAGATATTCCTTAAGATTAGTTTGATGTGTCCAGAGTTTTATGAAATGAAGGCTTCACAAGAAAATGAATATCTCCACACGATTGGGAGATTTTTCTGAAAGACAGTTGTCTTATTGGTAAAGCTTTCCCACTCCTCGGTGACCAAAAGAAGAAAAAAGAAAAAGAAAAATTCCTCTGAAGTTGTATGAATCTGCTTTCTTTGCTACATTAGATTTCTAGGCAAACTGAACAACCAAAAGGATTTTTTCCTTTACATGAGGCCCTAATCTGAATTTCCAGATGGATTTGGTTTTGTGTGTGTGTATTTAGTTTGCTACAAATGTAAAAAAAAAAAAAATTTTTTTTAAAGACAGAAATATTTTGATTGAAACTACCAAAGCAACATGTGTGAAAATAACTGACTTGTATTTTAATTCTGTGTTTCTTATCTAGGAGAGATTAGTAATGATCCCATAACATTTAACACAAATTTAATGGGTTATCCAGACCGACCTGGATGGCTTCGATATATCCAAAGGACACCGTATAGTGATGGAGTCCTGTATGGGTCTCCAACAGCTGAAAATGTGGGGAAACCAACAATCATTGAGGTAATTTCTTAGAATGAGCAAAATTGTTTTTTTTTTTTTTTTTTTTTTTGGTTATCTGAGTTTCAAATTTTGGAATTAAAATTACATGGCAATGGTTTTTAGCATTTTATGCATGGAAACAATGTAGATAGCATTTGGAAATGTACCAGTCCTTTCTGAGAACTTGCAGTCTTTAAAATTAAATTTATTTATTGGGGTGGCATCAGTTAATAAGATTAGATTGGTTTCAAGTGTACATTTCTGTGATACAGGATCAGTATATTGCATTGTGTACCCACCATATATTTGGCCCCCAACACACCTTCCCTCTGGTAACCACCATACTATTGTCTGTGTCTATGAGTTTCAGTTGTATATCCCATATGAGTGAAATCATATGGTTCTTAGCTTTTTTTGACTGACTTATTTTGCTAAGCATAACATTTTCAGGGTCTATCCATGTTGTTGCAAATGGCAATATTTCATCTTTTCTTATGTCTCAGTAGTATTTTATTGAACTAGTATATATGTACTACATCTTCTTGATTCAATCATCTATCGAAGGACATTCTGGTTGTTTCCATGTCTTAGGCACGGTGAATAATGCTGCATTGATCAAAGGAGCACATATATCTTCTTGAATAAATGTTTTCAAATTTCGGGGGTGGATGCAGAAAAGAGGGATTGCTTGGTCATATGACAACTCTCTTTTTATTTTTATTTTAATTTATTATTATTATTATTATTTTTAGGAACCTCCATACTATTTTCCACAGTAGCTATACCAGTTTACATTCCCACCAACAGTGAATGAGGGTTCCTTTTTCTTTTCAACCTCTTCAACACTTATTACTTGTCTTGTTGATAATAGCCATTCTAATAAGTGTGAGGTGGTACATATCTCATTAAAGTTTTGATTTGCATTTCTCTAATAGCTAGTGAAGCTGAACATCTTTTCATATATCCATATATCCATCTTTTTGGAAGAAGTGTCTGTCTAAGTCCTCTGCTCATTTTTAAGTGGGAGGGTGTGTTTGGTGTTGAATTATATGAGTTTGTTATATATTTTGGTTATTAATCCCCTTGTCAGAGCTGTTGTGTACAACTATCTTCTCCCATTAGGTTGGTTGTCTTTTTGTTTGTTGGTGGTTTCTTTTGCTGTGCACAAGCATTTTAGTTTGATAGAGTCTCATTCATTTATTTTTGCTTTTACTTCTCTTGTCTTTGGGTCAAATTAATAAAATCTTCTCTAAGACCAAGGTCCATAAGTTTAGTACCTATGTTTCTTCAATGTAATTTACTGTTTCAGATCTTATATTTAGGTCTTTGATCCATTTCAAATAATTTCTGTACATGGTGACAAATTAAAGTCCTGTTTCATTCTTTTGCATCTGGCTTTCCAATTTTTCCAGGACCATTTGTTGAAAAGGTTTTATTTTCTTCACAGCACATTTTTGGATCCTTTGTCAAAAACTGTTTGCCCATACACATGTGGTTTGGGGGTTCTTAATCCTGTTCCATTGGTGTGTTGTCATTTCACAGTTTTTTTTCTTTCAACTTTTATATAAAAAAGGGGCAGTCCAAATTAGTGGAAAAAATTAAGACATTTAAAAGAAATAGGTTACTAAAATATGAATTATACTTAAGAAATAAGTGCAAACTTATCTGCTTATTTTAATTCCAAATTTCATGTTCACCAAAATACAGTCATTATGCAGACATTTTGTGAACCTCTACTATGTAATGAACATTATGATAGGTGCTGGTGATAGAAGGATGAATTAACAGGTGAGTCCAGGAGTTGGCGCACTGAAGTGGAAACACATACTTAGCCTACATGACAAAACTGTGATAATAAAAAGGTGCTGTTTGATGAAGAGTTATAAGAGGGTAAATAGGAATTCACTTCACAAAATAGAAGGAAGGCTATCTTAGGCAGAAGAAACAGTGCATTAAAATATTGAAGGCATTAACAATCACATCTTCTCATATGCGTGTACACACATATACCTCAGTAAAATTTGAGATCATTACAGTATTAATATATCTCATTAAAAGTAATAGGAGGACTGTATTCTATTATGACTGTTAAAGTTAAACATTATATATAAATTCAGATAATAAAATTATTCCTCCTAATTCATGAAATGTTTTTCACTCCCTGTAGTAGCTGTGATTTTTTTTAAAAAAACAATAACATTAGAGTTCATGAAATTTACAATATTGAGATTTGTGATAATTATGGAAAGGCTACCTATAAAAGTATTGCCATTCATTTGCAAATGTCTAATATTTCTTTCTGAGCTTTAGCTTTGAGATATTATAACAAATATTAGAAGACTGATGCTTTTTTTCTCAGTAAGAATATGATTAAGTTTTTTGCAGGGTGAACTTTTAAAAGCATGAAAATTCCCAAATGAAATCTTTATTACATTTTTTCATTTGCTTCTTTTTGAGCAGAGTTCCTAGCTTATTTTAATAACTAGGCTTTTTTTCATTGTTAATCTAATTAATCAGGTATCCAAAAAATATAGTTAGGAAATTATTTAATTCAACAGAAATCAGAAAGATTTTCGGGGAGAGAGAGTTCTTTTACCTTTGTATAATAGTCTGGTTTTCAAAATATATACTTTTAAATATTATTAAAGGTTTGGAGTTACTCCAAAATTTTGATTTTTACTGTATTCTTAAATATTTCTGAGTGTAATTTATTTTATTTAAAGCTTTATGATGCTATGAAAACCTTTGATATTTGTTTTTATTTTTTAAATTTATCTTTATTGTTGAAAGTATTACATATGTCCCCCTTTCCCCCCCATTGAGCCTCTCCATCCCACTCCCACCCCCTCCCCAGGCCTTCACTGCACAATTGTCTCTGACCATGGGTTACGCATATATGCATGTAAGTTCTTTGGTATTCATTTTTAAATGAGCAAGATATTTCTTTTATGAGTCAGTTTGTTCTACTTTTTATTCTCAGTGTCAACCACAGCTGATATCACTGCCAGAAGGCTGGTGCCGGGATGCTAAGACTTTGCACAATCTATTAGTTTTTGGGGGTTTTGAGGTACTGCAGACCTATCTGAATGATTTCCTATCTGTCTTAAAGTTAATTATTCCTTGATTTTTGAAGTATTATCGTGATTTTGGCCTTCACTTTGTTTGTTGTTTGCAGTGGCTGTTTCTGAGTTGACTTTGATGTGAGGTCATTGGCTCTGCAAATGTTTACTAATATTTGACTGTACAAAGGGATTGATCTGTGTTTTTGAGCATGTGCCATAAGCTTGATAGACCATGACCCTTACTGCTTTACTCTCGTCGGAAGTGGAGATACAATATTCCAAGGGTTATTCATGACATTTTTTTTTTTGGACTTTTTGGTGTGCAAACAACACAGAGATGTGCTTGCTTTAATGTGTCCTTTCCAGTACAAATCCTTAAGTTTCATTTAAAAATACAAAAATAAAAGTTGTTTTGGTGCTTTTGAAATTTTACAATGGCACTGGTAATTCATAATGGTTAATCCATTTACTAATGGTACCTCTGCACTGTGATGAGCACTTAACAGTCTTCCGTGAAAGAGACACTCTGATTTTAACTCATTTCAGCATGTTAAATAGACCTGACTAATGATTTCTCTTCCTATAATATTGCTAAAAGCTCTGAGTTCTTATTGCACAGAGAAGGAATATTTTGTAAGTATATAAACAAATCATGAAAATGGAAAAAAAGGTGGTATGTTTTCATTTTGTCCTTAATGAATTTTATTTTCCAAATAACATTTCACTTTTTTAATATGATTTTCATTTTCTGATAGATAACTGCCTACAATAGGCGTACCTTTGAGACTGCAAGGCATAATCTGATAATTAATATAATGTCAGCAGAAGGTAGGTATGAAAAAATATGTTGCTGATTGCTTCCTTGTTTACAAGAAGTATTTTATAATGTCTTATGTCTGTGTAAAAATATAGTTAAGGATTTTAAAGTACCGGATACCTAAAATAACTAATGAAATAGTAAAATGTAGAAAAGAAAACTAGGCAACATTTAATTTGTTATAAATATCATGATGTGTTAGGGTGCCACTTATTTCTCTAGGCCTCGGTTTCCTCATCTGTAAAATAAAACTAAGAATAAAATTGCTCTTTTCAGTCTGGGATACAGATTCCATGAAATGTGCTTCTCACGGCACTGAGCACAGAGTGTACTAACAGTAATTATTAGTTAATTTCATTATTTTTCTTTAAAACTTATAGGGTTGTGTATTTTTTTTTTTTTTGGTTAAGTTAAGAAGTTATTGATGGACAGAAGTAAACTGTAATTTGGGTCACACACTCTTTCCTAATAGCTAATCATGGATCAGTAATTGCCAGAGTCCATCAGCAATTTAGAGTTACATATGCTCACATTGTAAGTGATTCCCAAGGATTTGGAAAGACCAAGGGAATACTCCAAGAATTACGCTTTCAAATACTCTGACCCTAATTTGGCACTTGATTGGGAAAAATACATACCACTAAAAAGTTGGCGGTTAAAATGTATATGTTATGGGAGACTCCCCTCTATACCCGATATCATTTATGAATGAGGGTAACAGGAGGAGAATGGACATTTTCCCTCCTGAAAGCAGGAAAAACTGTGTGTACCCTGGGAAGGGAATTCTTCTGTTTACCAGTATAATCAAAAACAAATGAGCAAACCCACACACACACACAAAACTGCATCAGAACCTACTAATTTGGATTGTATGATAATTTAGCAAAGGCGAGGTTAAAAGTTGCTTTTATACTATATAAAAGAGAACAATTTCTGAAGATTTGATAATGCGATCCAAAGTTGAGGAAATTGCTTGAAGACTTTGAACCCCTTTACATGATTTCCCCTCCCTCCCCAGGGGTTTTAGCAATATCAGTTTCAGACAACAAATCTGCTGGTTTAAAATTTTGAGTGACTTTCATCTATGCAAAACAAGTCCCAATGCTGGTTTTGTAGGCTTAGACAGAAAATTCCCTGTTCACTTTTTCACTTCTCAAGAGCTTTGGTAGGTATTGACATTGGGATCAGCGAGACTTGTACTTGACTCCAGTTGTATTCAGATGCTTGCATCCAGTCTAATCGGTCCCTGTAGAATTAAAATGCCCTTCATGAACAGAATAATTGCAAAGTTTTCTTTTCCTAAGGACTTCAACAGTACAGTTAGCTACGTGGGCTTGGGCCACTCACCTCACCATGAGGCTCTCAGAGTGGCTCAAAGCCCTTTGTCAGATATGGGAGTCCCTATTGGTCTGTAGTTGGAACCTCTTCTCTCTCAGGTCTCATCTCCGTCCTGTGGATATAGAGTCCACAGGCATCCTCATAGGTGCCATTGATGTGTGGGGACCCATGTCCAAGCAGACACTTGTGGAAAACTGCTACACAACTGTAGAATTAAAAAAAGGCATGTTGAAGTGTGTTGATGAGAAAGAGTAGAGGGGTTTGGGGTGTTTACTTCCGATGGAGTTTTTATTTACTGCTTTTTACAGAGAATTCTGAGCCCCAGAGTATGAAAACCAGGGGACAAAGTGGCATGTGTTTGTCCTTGCTGGTATAGATGGCATCTATATGGGTTCAAGGATGTGCATATTTGAGCCCCACCTCCACACATGCCATTTCTTCCAGATAAAGTTGGGGAAAGAAGTCAGAGTTGCCTATCAGAATAATCATGCTTAGTCTGACTCCTTGCCCAGCTGTCTCTTGCATGGGGAGGCCTAATGGGAAATGAGTCCTGTAGACGCACACAGCCTGGAGCTCAAGGAGAGCACACAGAGTGACTCTAAATTGGGTTCAGTACCTCAGAGGCTTGCCACCAATCTGTTGGCCTACTGCTCCCTTGGCCTCTCTGATGTCCAAATATAGCAGGCCTGGGATTTTCCCAAAGTTAGAAAGCTCAAGTGACTCATCTCTGGGAGTGCTGGCAGCCACACTTGGCCGGGTAGACAGCAGGCAGCTGCGCAGCCCGGAGCCTCCGAGGGGCGTGGCGGCACCGGGTCTCATAAAGGAACGACCAAGTGGGGTCACATGGATTAGGAAAAGCCAAGAAACAGTTCTCCAAAAAGTAACATGGGTCATACATAAGAAACAAGTTTTGAACAGTGGGTGGAAAAACACTGAATGAAGTTAGTAGAGGATAGACTTCTGACATACTCAGAAACGTTACTTGGCATTATTTACAAATGCCATTCATTGCCAAGAAACAGTTCTTCATGGCATATTTCTGCACAAGCATTTCTTGGTATGGGGAAGAATGTAGTATGATTAAGCTACTGTTTATCTGTAAGAAACTGTAAATGTTTCTATATAAAACAGGAAACTTATCTATATAAAAGAGGCAATATATATGTGTATATATATGTGTGTGTGTGTGTGTGTGTGTGTGTATATATATATATATATATATATATATATATATATATATATATATATCTCACATTTTAGAAGATTGCAGATGGCCTGTACATCAAGCAAATCTAATAAAACCATAAGCAGAATAAATGACAGAGTCGGAAATAAGTAAAGAATCTTCCATGATTAGGGCCTTGAAAAACTCAGTCTTTAGGAAGAGATGCCATACTTTAGAAAACTCTCTTGAAAACTTTAAAACCAGAATGGCCTACCCTGACATCACCACAGGCATTCATACCCTTGCATATGCAAGCGGCTTCATAAGAAATGAGGTCATCATGATATCAGTTGTTTATTGTGTAGTTTTTATTTTTTATTTTATTATTAAGTAAGTATGGAAAACTTTATAGGTATGAGTTTTAATGAAATAAGTCAGAAGGTGTATACAAGTATAGATTTAATCTCTGTATAGTCCAGAAACATTTTGACTTTTCTTTTTAAGGGAAGAATTCAGATAACCAACCTATTTATATTATTATAGTAATTGCTAAAATTTATATTTATTATAGTAATTGCTAAAGAGAAGCACTTGGTATACAGTCTCCCTTAGCTTAGATAAAAATTATATAAATTCAAATGATGGTACATTTTTGGACCTCAAGGATCAGATTCCCCTTCTGAAAGAATGGAGAACACCACAAAGACCTACTCACCCTCTGATTGTGAGTAATAAATGTGACGATTCACCTCAATCCATTAGTTTGTAAGTATTAAAAAAAGGAGCTTTTATTATTACAGAAATATTATTAAACAAAAAGAAAGACACTTTTTATATTAACATAACAATTAGAATAAGGGGAATGATGATTTATAATTCACAATAAATTTGATAAAATTAAATAAATTATATTTACCCTTTATTGAGAGTATGAATTGGACATTCAATTGTTTTAAAATATTAATTTTGAAATCTTTGGAGAGAAATATTGATGAGCTATTAGGGAAGAGGAAAACTAAATGTGTATGAGCTAAGGAATTTAATGAGAACTTTAAAATGTAATTTTTCTAGAATATGTAATTATGGAGTGATCAAAATAGTAATATTGTTATAATTTAAGAATTTTTATTGAAAATATAATCAATATTTATTTTAGTAGAAAATAATATTTTAGCATGCTCCAAAATACAGTCATGCATCACATAACCACATTTTGGACTGCAGAGAGGACCTGGCCCCATAAGATTATAAGGGAGCTGAAAAATTCTTATCATCTGGTGATACTGTAGCCATTGTGACAAGGTAGCACAATGCTGAGCTCTTGTTTTAAATAAATTGAGGGTAGCCTGAGTGTACAGTTGTATAAAGACAACAGTGGTGGACAGTAATGTCCTAGGCCAGTGGTTGGCAAATTCATTAATCAACAGAGCCAAATATCAATAGTACAACGATTGAAATTTCTTTTGAGAGCCAATTTTTTAAAATTTAAACTTCTTCTAACGCCACTTCAAAATAGACTCACCCAGGCTGTGGTATTTTGTGGAAGAGCCACACTCAAGGGGCCAAAGAGCCGCATGTGGCTCATGAGCCGGTTTGCCGACCACGGTCCTAGGCCTTCACCTTCACTCCCCCCTCACCCACTGACCCACCCAGAGCAACTTCCAGTCCTGTGAGGTCCCTTCATGGTTAGGGCCCTATACAGGTTCAACAATTTTTATCTTTTATACTATATTTTAATTTTTTTTTCAATTTTGCTTTACATTCAAATCTTATTTTATGCTAGTTCCAGGTACACTATATCTATATATTTACTGGATGTTTTGACATACAGATACTTTCCATTGTGTTATAATTGCCTGCGGTGTCTAGTGCAGCGACTTGCTGTACAAGCTTGTAATCTAGGAGCAATGGCTATGCCATTCAGCCTAGATGTGTAGCAGCAGGCTGTGTCACCCAGGGCCGTGAAGGGCGCTCTGGGATGTTTGCACAATGCATCTCTCTGAGCATATTCCTGTGGTTAAGCAATGCTTGACTATACCGCACATTAAAAACGTGTTATTTCAAATCATATACCAACGAGCCACTATCAAGTACTGATAGTTCATGATGTTCTCTCTACTGGGAAAGAATGTTGCTTTGTATCTCAACTTCTTCCTCTGTTCAGATGGGAACAGCACTGCTTAGGGTTGTAATGATTAAAGGAGACGATATATTTGAAAACGATGTTAATTTTTAAAACACTGTGAATACAAAATATTATCCCTACCCATGTTGTGTTCCGGAAGTGCCCCTTCTGCCTGGGTGAGGCACGGGAGGAGGCCAGCAGGTCGTTGGCTAGTTGGAAATTGATTTGGCTTTTTTTTTTCATTCCTTTTCACTAAATCCTATCATTATTAATTGTCCTTTTGTGCCCTTGAATTTTGAATGCATGGTAGATAAAATTCTGTGTCACATATGTGTTATATATATATATTTTTTTAGATATACATCCCTGTTATACAGAAAGCCTTTAAAGTCAGGATTAATATCATTTTCCAAAGGCAGCACTGTGACAGAAATAAACAAGTGTAGAATGGTCCTTTTGTTTCCCTCTCCAAAGACCACCTCACTAAAACTATGCCTTCCCCTTTCCACCAAAACTAGATTTCCCGTTACCATATCAAGCAGAGTTCTTCATCAAGAATATGAACGTGGAAGAAATGCTGGCCAGCGAGGTTCTCGGAGACTTCCTGGGGGCAGTGAAAAATGTGTGGCAGCCGGAGCGTCTGAATGCCATCAACATCACGTCGGCCCTGGACAGGGGCGGCAGGGTTCCGCTCCCTATCAACGACATGAAGGAGGGGTAAGGAGACCTTTATCTTGTTGCCTTGCACGTGAGTTTTAAAATAGGGTGATCTTATCATAGTTATTACAGATGGAAGACAGTCTACTGCATTTAAAAAAAAATAAGATGTGGTATTGTAAAGATACGAAAATACTAGCAATTTTCTGTATTGATAAAGAGGTTACGTTAATGGTTCTTTATAGCTGATGTGCCAGGTCCAGTGGCATCTAATTGTAGATCAGGATCAGCAATCATAAATTACAGCGCGAAGTCTTTTGTACCTTCCGTAGAGAAACTGATTATTGAGGACCCGTGATTTCAAAGGATATCGATGCCCCAGTTATCAGCTGCAGAAGGACATGCGGACTTGATTCTAGGAAACTATTTCTTTGCCTTTTAACATTCTTTCCACCATGTGTCAGTGACTGGCCGAAGCAGATCTGAGGCCCCTTCCTAAAGCCGGGCTTGGCTATTCACAAGCTGGATGACGTTGGCGAAATGCTGCCTTCCTCTGTGCCTCAACCTCCTCATTTGCTCCAAGGGGGAGTTTACGCTCCCTCGAGTTTGTCATGATGGAGAAGTGAAACAGTGCTTTTGAAAGCGATTTATCTGTTCTCTAGTCTTATAGAGTATGACTCAGCCCCTCGTAGAGGTTCAGAAACACTCTTATACCTGGGCAAATGGAAAAGTCAGTATCAACTAGACTTTGATCTTTAATTTTTAATCTGTAGGTTGAGGCAGATCCTATAAATAGATATGGAATGAGTTATGTTTTGGGTAGCATATTCCCTTTCCAACTCCTTCCTTCATATTCCTGATAACATTTCTACACAGATGATATCTGGAACTACCTAGAATGCCTGGATTAATCAGAATTAAATTTAAGGGCAGCTAACAAGGAGGACGTTGTTGGAAATCAGGGAAAATATAACAAGTAGACGTAACTAACGTATGAGGGAGCAGGCAGAAGCGGGGTAAGGGCTAAGCAGTGAGCTGTCAAGTCCAACTTACCCATTTCAGAACGAAACCGTACCTGCTGTGTGACAGCACTGTGTCCTGAAGCCAGCCAAGCACACTTAGAAGTGCTGCTTTAGCTCTTGTTTGTTGGGCGGTTTTTTAATGTGAAAACGTAATTCTAGAATTCACATGTTTACAACATGATTTTCTAATTAATTAAGAGAGAATCGTGGAAAGATAAATGAACAGTCCTTACCGGTTTGGCTCAGTGGATAGAGCATCAGCCTGTGGACTGTGAGGTCCCAGGTTTGATTCTGGTCAAGGGCATGTGCCTTGGTTTTCGGCACATGGCCCATAGTGGGTGTGCAGGAGGCAGCTGATTGATGTTTTACTCTCATCAATGTTTCTAACTTTCTATCCCTCTTCCTCCCTCTTCCTTCCTCTCTGTAAAAAAATCAATAAAATATATTTAAAGAAATAAAGAGAAAGAAATGCACAGAGGTTATCTCCCCAGAACGCCTTCTCCAGATGGGGAATCTTTTCAACATTTGTTAAAGCCACGTGTTCTGTGCTGATTGTCCACACAGCAAGCAGAGATGCTGGAGGACACCCCAGGAGAGCCAGGCATTGGGAGAGGTTCCCATAGGAAACCTTTTCTGGGTGCAGCCCTTCTCCCCTCAGTAGTTGAGGCACTTTTGGAAACAACTAAACTAAATTGAACTAAGTAACTCTCTAAACCAAACTCCGAACTAAAACAGTGCTTCCCAGCCATGGCTAGCCTGAGACTTGTCAGTAGGCACTTTAATAAAAATACAGCTAGGTTCCGACCTCTCACTTCCCTTAGGGATTCTGAATCTTTGAGTCTGGGGCTGGGGCTGAGCATGTGACTCTAAATTAAGAACGGAATTTTTGTCCCTCAAGTACTTGTTAGAGAATTCAGTCATTAGCTGACTGACCCCCAACACCTGCTAGAGGGTGGCATGTGCTATCAGACATTGAGAGAGTCAGTCCCATGACATTTATTTGGACCTTGTCTCAGATCCCTTCCCAACTTGAAATGCTTTCCACCAGTTTTAATTTAATGTTAAGCCATAACCTTTACAAAGTATTCAAAAAGTCTTTCAAAATAGCGTTTCTATAAATTATACCCAAAGCCAACTCTATCACTACAGTATCCCTCTACAAGCGCTAATTAATTAAAATCCTCTATGAGTATAATTCCAGAAGAAAACTTGTCTCTAGGAATGATTTTGCATATTTTCTTCAGTTGTTACCTCATGTCGTGGTAATGATTTTTTTTTTTAAAAAACCCCTGTTACATTAAATTTAGAAATAAATCCAATGCTTAACTCATCTCTTGTGCCTTCCTTTCTTTTCTTAATGGTGTATATCATAATTACCAATTCATTGAATAAACTTTTTGCCTCTGCACTTTTTTTGAAAATAGAAAAATTTTGAACATGGACTTCAAATCCCTTTTAAAAATGAAATAGTGAAAAGATCAAGAGATAGGGTCAGAGAAAGCAAGAAAAAAAATCCCTTTCTTTTCTAAAATTTTGTTTAAAAATATACTCATATACTTCAGAAGTACTCATGAAGTACCTAAAGATGTGTAATTAGCATAAGCCTCAGTCTCTGATATTTTTTTTTTTTTTACAACATTCTTGAAATGTTTTTTCTGTTTCTCATGGCAGCCATAATCCACTAATTGCAGGTGTTTCCGTATTTACTCTATTTGGTCAATGAGGAAGAGAAACTCACACGGTAGACCCTCAGAGTGAGCTCACAGCCAGTCCCTGCAGAGCCTAAGCACCATTAAATGTCAGACATCAAGAGTCCATTCCCCAGCACCCCAGCTCCTCTTTCGTCGTCTTTTTAAAAATATATATATATTTCATTGATTTTTTTTTTTACAGAGAGGAAGAGAGGGATAGAGAGTTAGAAACATTGATGAGAGTGAATCATCGATCAGCTGCCTCTTGCACTACCCTTACTGGGAATGTGCCACAACCAAGGTACATGCCCTTGACAGGAATTGAACCTGGGACCTTTCAGTCCACAGGCCGACGCTCTATCCACTGAGCCAAACTGATTTTGGCTCCTTTTTCTTCTTGAGGTGTATTTTTCATCGCCGCAGAACTCACTGACAGCCTTCAGACTTCTCCTCCATCTACCAGGAAACAATTACAAAGATGTATGTCAGAGTGAGTAAGCTCCTGCAAAGGAACACTGGAGCCTCCTGGAAAGATTTCCTCTCACTCACCAGACCTGCAACCCCAGGGCAACTGGGCTCTCTCCCAGTGTGTGGTCTTGGTCCCATTTTTGCCCCTGAGGCGGAGCCAGAGGCTGAGGACTCTGTGGATGCATTTAGCCTGGGATAAAGCTCGTGGAGAGAACAGCAGGTTCATATTTCATTCTAGGCATGGCATAGCTGCCAACCTGGGGTGAGTGATGTGGTGTAAATGGTGGCTAGGAAGGGAATGATGGGGTGTGAGGATTAAAGAATACACTCACTTTTTATAAGAGATTGTCAAACATACCATTGTTTCCTCTGGTTCCCAAAGCTTGTGGATCTATCCCCAATCAGCAACCGAGAATCCTGGTTGATTCTCTCACGGAGTACTCCCTGTAAATTAATGGTTTGCTTTCCGCCCTGCCAAGGCCTCAGGGAGAAAATGTAAGTCAGTGGCTGCCAAATACCGCTCTGATGCAAGGTCATGAGCTTGGGCCAGTCTCTGGTGCTCTGCTGAATTGGCCCCATGTTTGGTAATTTATAAGATTGTCTTTTACTCTCAAATAACAAGCCTTTGATATTTTGGGTGCATTATTTTCAAATAATGTGCCTTTGATATCCTTTCATTTAAGGAACGATGGTGATATCAGATAGGAATTTTAAAAAATTATACCTTATTTTTCGGCATATAAGACGACCTTTGAAACAAAAAAAAGTCAACCGAAAATCGGGGGCAAAAGACCAAAATTGCACAAAAATTACCTGCAGATCTTGACTGCAAAGTAAGTCTTTTCTTTGAAGTGGAGGGTAGTCTTATACAGCAAATATAGGCCTAAACCTATGTTTTAACTATAAAATTAGGGGGCCATCTTATTCACCGGAAAATATGGTGTGTGTGTGTGTGTGTGTGTGTGTGTGTGTGTGTATATATATATATATATATATATACATACATATATATATATGAAGACCCTTATGAATCTGTTTTTATAAGTATAAAAATAAATAAATGAAATCTATACAACTAGATATTTAATACCATATCTAGTCTTCTAAGTTCTATACATACATTCATGCTTTTCTTTCATAGTTTAGTATTTAGTATTTTTTAGGGGGGAATAATATATTAGTCTGGGGGTACAGTGATTTTAAAATTACAATCTATGGCCCGACCGGTGTAGCTCAGGAGTTGAGCGTTGACCCAGGAACCATGTGGTTACTGGTTCATTTCCCAGGTTGCAGGCTCAATCCCCTGTGGGAGGCATGGAGGAGGCAGCCAATGTTTCTATCCCTCTATTCCTCTCCCTTCCTCTCTCTCTCTCCCACTCTAAAAAAACAACAACAATATTTTTTTAAAAAATTACAGTCTATGTTCACAGTCCATTAGGGTGCAGACAGTAGTCAGAACATCACACCAAAGTGTGGCACATGCTACAGACGAGGCTGTCATGGTGAACAGTGCTCCTCCCACGTCAGGCGGATGCCTAAAAAGGGTCCATGGAGGAGGAGAACGGGAGCCTGACCCGAGTTTAAAATGTGAACACAAATCAGCCCGCTCAAAAACGAGGCAGTGGGGGATTCTAGGCAGAGGGAATGGCTTGAGCCCTTAGGGAGAACGCGTGGTGCATTTGGAAATGGAGGACAGGGATCCAAAAGTGATAGTTACCAGGCCATGTAAGGCCTGTGCACCAGGAAAAGATTGTGGATTTTATCCTGAAGCATTAGGGACCTTTGCAGCAAATGGCTGCTATTAAAGTTTTTGTTTTAGCGGGTGGGCGTGCCCAGCCTACCCCATGAGAGAGCAGGGCAGACCCCAGTGTCTCCTCTC